TACCTACTATATATTATACGATATAACCTAGCTACCTTTTCCTACCTTATAATATTTTAATAATACCTATAATACCTATAATACCTATAATACAGTTCATAAGACAGTATTGTTAGCTCTGCGTCTCMGTCAACAACTATCTTTTTTATCTACGCCCCGGCGTGTCACTTTTGYTACTCCTAAATAATTTAGTTAGGTGTCACCTAACTATTTTAATCATACTGCAACAGCACGTATCTCAATACATTTTAAGATATAAGATTAATATCACTATTGATAGTAAAAGTGTTTCCGAAAATGTTTTGTACAATATATATATATATATTAACAGATTTTTTTTACCACTTAAGGAGTGTCCTGTGGCGATACAAACTTTTGTTTTTCTGATGAGAACATTTTTACCGAAAATTATTTAACGGATAATTTTTTAAGAATTTTGATATATTGAAATCAAAATTCTGATGATTAGTTTTTGAGTTATTTAACTTTATGTTCTAAGCATAAAAGGTCAATGGTTTAAGTTTATATGGTATGTGATGTATGGTGGATTTGAAAATATTTGTCATTAAKATTAATCTATCAATATAAATAATTTTTAAAAATGACCTAAGTATCATAAACACTAGTACTGGTATTTGTATTTTATACTTTTGTAAAATGATTTTAAGGACTATCATCCTTAGTAAAAATATTTTGATAATTAAGAAASTACTCGTTTGAATTGTTATTTAAAACAAAAATGTGTATCACTACAGGACACTCATTAAGTGGTACAAAAAAATTTCAAGAATTTGGAAATATGATCTTTGAGTATATTAAAAGATTTCAAACATCAGATTTTGGATAATTCCATTCTTAAAGAAAAAAAGGGGGTGAGCATGCTTCGGGAATCACCTATATATATATATATATATATTTATTCATTATATTTGTGGTTACAAAGCCTTGTATCGACATATTTCAACCATATACTAAGTTATAATCCACGATTTAAGATATACAGGTAACAGGTTGTACATAATTAGGATATTATGATAAAGTGACCAAAAAACTAAGTTGTTTATAGTGCTGAAAATTAAATTGAGCACTCCTTGTGAGAAAAAAAAATTATAATCACAATTCAAATTTTAGAATATACCAATATATTATCTTGAATGATGATGTATCATACCATGATATACGCAGAGGGCGGGGTGCTGGCATATTTTTCCACAGCTGATTTTATGAKACGATTTTATAAACAAACTCAAATCATTATGGTATGGGACATGGGTCGATGTGCAATCTATATATTTGAAACTCATGGACTGGAAAGAGAGAGAGTGAGAGAGTGAGTGAGAAGTCAAACAACTACATAAAAAGTGTTTGATAAAAGAGACAAATAAATAAAATACAGTGTTATTATGGCCAAATAAAAAATTGARWTACAATCAAATCTCGTCGACTACTATATTGTTTTTAAGACGTGATAAATTTTGGTTATTGACTCTTATACATAATAATATGGTAAAGTTTGAAATTTAAAAAAAGTTAATGATAAAAAAAAATTAAGTTTTCTCCATGATTCACTACTTTATATTCTTTCTCTCGTTATGTTGGTGAAATTGAATGCAATGTCCATAACATAAAGGTATATGATTTTAACTATTATATCAAATAAAATAAATGGTTTTTAATTTCTATACCCACTAATAAAAATAATTGTCATGCATTACCTAAATGGTACCTATCAAAATTTAAATTTTTTAGTTAAATGTAAGAAAACAATTATTTTAAAGATCAAACATTTTAAAATCAATGCATAATAATTTATTAAAACAGCCTTTCCCAAAAATATTATTATTTCATAACTAAACGTAATTATCTCATATTTTAAAACCTTTAATTGAAACTAAAATATTTATTTTTAAAATTAATTTTATTAGCACAAATTTTAATAAAACTGCATAATATTTTAAAAGCATTACCAGTATTGAACTTTGCAAGGATAAAATATCACTTAAATTCTATATTTTGATCATCTTAAAAATGTAAGAGTTTAAAAGTTTAAAAAATCGAGATACGATCTGTTGTAATATAAKCGAAATAAACCTTACTAGTAATTGGCACTACAGTTATAATATTATAAACATTATTAGTATCATTATTTAGAATCGATATTACATCGTCGATATCGTCAGAAGACTGAATGATTTTTCGTTACCGAGGTAGGTGGTTTAAATGTGCATCGGATAAAATATTATTATTATTATTATTATTATTCATCACTATAATATTATGAGCGTTGGWATCAAATACCCGATTTTTATATATTTTCACTCCAATCCCTTTTTAACGATAGTGTTTCTATAATATTATAATAATACGATGGTCGGTGTACACAAACATAATAATGTTATCTTAAAGATACAATATAATATGATTTTATAGCTTTATGATAATAATACATTACATTATATTATATTATTATTAAATTATTAGCGGGTGGGGGTGGAGAAAGTGTCCGTGGACGTCAACGGACGACGTGAGGTACGTCCGACGCGGCCGACTGCCTCGTCACTATGCCGATATCGATGGCAATACCGTTAAATTATTCCTGAAAAAAAATAATAAATAAATAAAATATAAACAAAAGTTGAATATCCCCGAGTGATCGGTCATAGATATGATGTGAACCTGGTGAGTATTATATTATAGTGATATTTTGCATGCATTACGATTAATGGGATGAAAAGCATAATGAAATATTTTGTATCCATAAATTCATCCACTGTTCAATTTATCAAAAAAAAAAATAAATAAATAAAACAAAAAATATTTACAATATATAAATATATATATATTTTTTAATAATCATAAAAAAATTTTATTTCATTGTTAATTTGAATAGGCGTGACTATTATATTTTAATTCTAACATTGAAATTATGCAAATACAAATAAGATAGAATATACTATTACTATCTATTACCATCGAATTAGTTAGTATTTCAATATATATATTATATTATGTGATTTTGATAAATTTGAAGGAAAATATACATTATTTTAAACTAAAATTAATTTAATTTGACGAAAAATCTAATAGCTTTGAGTGTGCAAAGAATATTTATTTTATTATATAGGTATATTTTTTCCTTTTAGCGATATTCARTTGTATTATTGGTCTACCGTAAGACTTTCAGGACTTAATTCATTACATTTTCTAGCAGTGAATGTTGTTAGTTTAGAAATAAATAAAAATATTTCGAATGTAATCAATTGAATTGAGTATCTACTTTGTTTAATTCATGAAATTCTTTGGGAAATAAATATATATATGTTGATGAAAAAAAAATATAGAACGAAACAACCAAACCACAAACTATTCCAACTTTACTGTACYAACTGTATATTATGATAATAGTGATAATACTTTAATATTACATGTTACTTATAATAGACTAGGATCCTTATTTTG